TGAGCTCCAAGATCTACACGTGGGGAAGGAGCTGCAGCTGAACCCAGGTGAGCTCCAAGATCTTACACGTGGGGAAGAAGCTGCGGTTGAACCCAGGTGAGCTCCAAGATCTACACGTGGGGAAGGAGCTGCAGCTGAACCCAGGTGAGCTCCAAGATCTTACACGTGGGGAAGGAGCTGCAGCTGAACCCAGGTGAGCTCCAAGATCTTACACGTGGGGAAGAAGCTGCGGTTGAACCCAGGTGAGCTCCAAGATCTACACGTGGGGAAGGAGCTGCAGCTGAACCCAGGTGAGCTCCAAGATCTACACGTTTAGAAGAAGCTGCTGTTGAAGTCAGTTCAGTACCAAGGTCTACACAGTTTAAAGAAGTTTGTAATAAGCTATCCAGCAAAATGTCACTCTACATTAAACTGGCTACTTGGTTTATCCAAGCGAGCGCACAGAGATGATATCTGAACACTCGTTTTAAAAATATCCATAATAGGTCACCGTCCAGGTGCTATGGCCAGAGCGTTATATGTGACAGAGGATGTTGGATATCGCCCACTATGCAGAAGGAAGCAATCAGTTTGTTTCCGTCACCCCCGGAAAGGCTCTGGGTCTTAAGGACCAAACGACATGCCCCCTTATAAGTCATACTAAGTCGTTTACAGACAAATCAGACAGAAGGCACAGTTGGTTGGTTTGTTGTTCAACGCCGCTTTTAGCAATATTCCAGCTATATCTAGACAATCCAGTGATCAACATCATGAGCATCGATCTACGCAATTGGGATACGATGACATGTGTCAACCAAGTCTCCGAGCCTGACCAGACAAGAATTGGGCTTCTCATAGATACATATTTAGATTAGTAATTTATACATTTTTTAACTACATTTTGATTTTAATTACAATAAAAGATGTAATGTTTTGTATTAATTATGAAAATGATTATTTAGCGCACACTTTTACAAAGAATCAAACTTGCATATAATTATCAAAATGTAATACCATCTAGAATAGACATCTGTGGCCTTTAAGAGCTCAACTTTAGACTGAGATAAGGGCGTATCTGCTAACGTTGTGCGGTCGCTCAGTTGTCGGAAACATTCATGCACTTGTGAGCAGACCAAGGATCACAATGTAACCCAGTGCTAGTAACTGGTCTATGAGTAACAGGGGAAGCACAAAGTTCATTTTCAAAAGTCCCGTGTATAATACTAAACTAACTTTCATTTAATCTGAACAATGCAAGCGTGACATACACTATTACCCTGTACAAAGGATTAGAAGCAAAAGAAATTTTCTTATCATTACCTTTACAAATGTAGACTATATTGCAGCATAGGTCGTATCGACACATTTGAACATATTGCAGTCATAGACAATAGATTACCAAACATAGATCCTAGACTCATCATAAATGTAAACACACTTACATTACATTTGTTATATGCATGGTAATAGTTTCCTAAAACACTCAAACAATTGGCTGGCCTAGACATTCTCAGTATCTCTAACACTTCCTGGAAACATCGTATCTAGCTTACATCTATAATATATTTTAGGTTGACCTACTGTCAACAGTCGGACTCAATCGTCACTGAGGTGCAGGACATTCATCACAGTGACATGTATTCAGAATCGAAATAAGTTAAAAATGATGCATAGTTTGAATACATGGTTTCACCATGGTTATCGAATCAGCAGTCCATGACTTAACACTATTAATATTAGCATCCGACAGGGTGTTTTTCTGTGTCAATAACACGCAAGGATGATTTCTTTGACTCTGCTTGGGATGGTTTAATGTGACAAAAGCCTCATGCCAGAGTGATTTAATGCAACACTATATATTTTTAAGGATGTTTAGTGGGACACTTTATATTTGCTATGGTTTAATGCGAAGCTGTTTGTATGCCACGATGGTTTAAAATGACATTATATATGCAATAAGCCATTATACAATAAGCCATTATGGTTTAATGTAACACAAATAATAAGCCGTGATGGTTTAGTGTAACACAAACAATAAGCCATGATGGTTTAGTGTAACACAAACAATAAGCCATGATGGTTTAGTGTAACACAAATAATAAGCCATAACGGTTTAGTGTAACACAAATAATAACCCATGATGGTTTAATGTAACACAAACAATAAGCCGTGATGGTTTAGTGTAACACAAATAATAAGCCGTGATGGTTTAGTGTAACACAAATAATAAGCCGTGATGGTTTAGTGTAACACAAACAATAAGCCATGATGGTTTAATGTAACACAAACAATAAGCCATGATGGTTTAGTGTAACACAAACAATAAGCCATGATGGTTTAGTGTAACACAAATAATAAGCCATGATGGTTTAGTGTAACACAAACAATAAGCCATGATGGTTTAGTGTAACACAAACAATAAGCCATGATGGTTTAGTGTAACACAAACAATAAGCCATGATGGTGTAAGTAACACAAATAATAAGCCGTGATGGTTTATGTAACACAAACAATAAGCCATGATGGTTTAGTGTAACACAAATAATAAGCCATGATGGTGTAATGTAACACAAACAATAAGCCATGATGGTTTAGTGTAACACAAATAATAAAACCGTGATGGTGTAATGTAACACAAACAATAAGCCGTGATGGTTTAGTGTAACACAAATAATAAGCCATGATGGCGTAATGTAACACAAACAATAAGCTCTGATGGTTTAGTGTAACACAAACAATAAGCCATGATGGTTTAATGTAACACAAACAATAAGCCATGATGGTTTAATGTAACACAAACAATAAGCCATGATGGTGTAATGTAACACAAATAAGCCATGATGGTGTAATGTAACACAATAAGCCATGATGGTTTAGTGTAACACAAATAATAAGCCGCGATGGTGTAATGTAACACAAACAATAAGCCATGATGGTTTAGTGTAACACAAACAATAAGCCATGATGGTTTAGTGTAACACAAATAATAAGCCATGATGGTTTAGTGTAACACAAACAATAAGCCATGATGGTTTAGTGTAACAGAAGCAATAAGCCATGATGGTGTAATATAACACAAACAATAAGCCATGATGGTTTAGTGTAACACAAATAATAAGCCATGATGGCGTAATGTAACACAAACAATAAGCTCTGATGGTTTAGTGTAACACAAATAATAAGCCATGATGGTGTAGTGTAACACAATCAATAAGCCATGATGGTTTAGTGTAACACAAACAATAAGCCATAATGGTGTAATGTAACACAAATAATAAGCCATGATGGTTTAGTGTAACACAATAAGCCATGATGGTGTAATGTAACACAATAAGCCATGATGGTGTAATGTAACACAATAAGCCATGATGGTGTAGTGTAACACAATAAGCCATGATGGTGTAGTGTAACACAATAAGCCATGATGGTGTAGTGTAACACAATAAGCCATGATGGTTTAGTGTAACACAATAAGCCATGATGGTGTAATGTAACACAATAAGCCATGATGGTGTAATGTAACACAATAAGCCATGATGGTGTAATGTAACACAATAAGCCATGATGGTGTAGTGTAACACAATAAGCCATGATGGTGTAATGTAACACAATAAGCCATGATGGTGTAATGTAACACAATAAGCCATGATGGTGTAGTGTAACACAATAAGCCATGATGGTGTAGTGTAACACAATAAGCCATGATGGTGTAAGTGTAACACAATAAGCCATGATGGTGTAATGTAACACAATAAGCCATGATGGTGTAATGTAACACAATAAGCCATGATGGTGTAATGTAACACAATAAGCCATGATGGTGTAATGTAACACAATAAGCCATGATGGTGTAATGTAACACAATAAGCCATGATGGTTTAGTGTAACACAAATAATAAACCGTGATGGTGTAATGTAACACAATAAGCCATGATGGTTTAGTGTAACACAAATAATAAGCCATGATGGTGTAATGTAACACAATAAGCCATGATGGTGTAGTGTAACACAATAAGCCATGATGCCATGTAATGTAAACAACACAATAAGCCATGATGGTGTAGTGTAACACAATAATGGATGGTGTAATGTAACACAAACAATAAGCCATCATGGTTTAGTGTAACACAATAAGCCATGATGGTGTAATGTAACACAATAAGCCATGATGGTGTAATGTAACACAATAAGCCATGATGGTGTAATGTAACACAATAAGCCATGATGGTGTAATGTAACACAATAAGCCATGATGGTGTAGTGTAACACAATAAGCCATGGTGGTTTAGTGTAACACAATAAGCCATGATGGTGTAATGTAACACAATAAGCCATGATGGTGTAGTGTAACACAATAAGCCATGATGGTGTAATGTAACACAATAAGCCATGATGGTGTAATGTAACACAATAAGCCATGATGGTGTAATGTAACACAATAAGCCATGATGGTGTAGTGTAACAGGACTAAAACTAAAACAATTAGTTTCTTTGAATTGTTTATCAATTTTCTGTTATCAATGAACTTACATGCTCATATAGGTACTTTTGTTCCCTTTGTCTCTTGATAGACATAACAGAAACCAGATATATGGAAAATGTGTCATTATTAGTCACAACTGTGTTGTCAGATGGAGAGTTATGGCGTGGAAAATGCTTCTTTCAGCGAGTTTGTATTACCGCCACTTTGAACAGGATTTCAGTTATATGACGAAGTGGCAGCTTGATCTTGGCGTTAAGCCAGTATAGTTCTTAAAAAGAACAGGTTGGAACATATTCTGGGCATAAAGCACATAGGGTTTGATGAAAAAAGTAGTTCCGGGATGGGGCTAATTGTGCATACCCAACACAGACAGATTTCAGGTCATGTCAAAGTTGAATCACATACAATCACAGTTTTAGTGAATTTAAACAGTTGTTTTCCCATTGCAACTGAAATGTAACTTGGCCAAGAAACCAGGTTATTCAGCCTATACAATGGGAAAGTTTCAGGAAGCCACGTTAACAAATCAAAATGTCACCTTAGTATACTTCGACGACAGAAGTTCCCACGTGTCTCACTTTCGTCTACGTCTGTTTTTACACAGATGGTCCTAAGCAGGAATCCAGTGCACGCCAGAATGCCAAAACACTCGCTGTAAGACGTGCTGCTAGCTGTAGAGCACTAAAGCTAGACAGAGTCACGTGGGACGGGAAACAGAAACCACTTGTGTCACAATGACATAATATTAACCGGCTGAATTGAGCTGAACTAACGTTATGGCCTGAGTGCACAGACGAAGAGATATTTTACAAGGCGAATGATCATTCTACATGCTTCGCCCTGGGTCGAAACAAAATCAAATACTGGCAGGGACATGCTGTGGTTTGTCAGATTCTCGTGATCTCGACCTTCAGAGACAAGCTAAGTATGCTGAACGAGATGGAATCCGATGTCTCGCATTGTGCTGTTGTCGCGATCTGGCTTCCTTGTGCAGGTTGACGTGAGTGAGTGAGTATGGTTTTACACCGCTTTTAGCAGTATTCCTGCAATACCACGGCGAGGGACACCAGCAATGGACTTCACATGTTTGATGGTAAATTGTACCTAAGAAATACAGTTTTAAATTCCGAGTGCTTTACCCTTATAATAGTTCAGGACAAAAACATGTACCTTATACCACCATACAAGGGGTTAGCGCAAACGGAATTTCTCAGAGGGGCGCTAGGGTAGCCTAGTGGTTAAAGCGTTCGCTCGGTACGCCGAATACCCGGTTCGATTCCCGAAATGGGTACAATGTGTGAAGCCCATTTCTGGGGTCCCCCGCCGTGATATTGCTGGAATATTGCCCAAATAGTCGTAACACCAAACTCACTCACTCTTTTCTGAGATGCCAAATTTAATACTTTCCCGTGATTAATCTGAGGCACAAAGCTAATAGAAAAACGACTTTGTCGGTGACCTGAATTAACAATCCTCGCTCAGGGCTAACTGACGTGCTGTTCTATTGATGTGTCTGCCCCCTATGTTCAGATACAGGTCACCAATAAAACAACTGATAAAAAGTTTCAAGACGGTTCACGTTCACAAACCACACCTTATCTTTATGATTTCAGTTATAATTATATATGTAACAAATATGAACGTCGCATTTTCACTCCAATATAAGCTGAGATAGATTAGGCTTACTAGTCACGTGCCATTCCATGGATGCATGATGCTGCTGATTTTTCCGTCGAACAAGTTTAACCAGAGTCCATATGATAAATATTAGTATATAGCATCTGGTTAAAAGTAATGTTTCCACCGGTGATGTTAGCCGACTGATTCAGCAGCAAACCATCCCACAGTTAGCTGCAACGTAGGAGCGTGCCTGTACAAAGCTGGATTCTTACGTCGGTTAGGAATGGTACTTTTGATTACGAGGGGGGCGACTAGAATGGAGCAGTGACGTCATGGCTAGATGTGTCCAGATTGGAATATGTCTTGGGCGAGATGGAACATCCCACTGGCTACTGACACTAGCCATGTGGTGTCTTTGATGCGGCGCCATTCCTCACCCTTATCAACGCATATCATATGGAGGTCATACCCGATTTCTTACACAGATTACTGAGTTAAGATCCTGAGAACATAGATAAGGATGGAAAGCCATTTGCAACGTGTGTCACTCAGTCACACACACTACTGAGAGCATATAATGGCAGTAAGATACCCCAACATGGCAAAATAACAATTCCTTGCAGTTACAACACTCCAGAGAAGCAGTCTTTCACATAGTTGATGCAGAGGGACCAATCATTGTAGGCCTACCAACATCCAGAAACTTAAGGCTTCTAACAATACACTGTGAAGTGACAGAATCTATCACACCTGCAAAAGTCAGCAGTAAACAAGACCTTCTTGACACATACCCTGATCGTTTCACTGGCATTGGCAAGTTCAAGGGGGATTTCCATATAACTCTGGACCCGTCCGTAGCACCAGTTATTCACACTCCGCGGAAATGTCCAGTACACCTAAAGGATGATATCCTAAATGAACTGCAGGAAATGGTGAGAATGGGTGTTATCGCCAAGGTGTCCGAACCTACAAGTTGGGTATCAAGCATTGTGTACAGCTGTAAGTCCAATGGGAGACTACGCATCTGTCTAGATCCCAAGGATCTCAACCGTGCCATACAGAGGCCACACCACAAAACTCCCACACTTGAGGAGATAACATATGAATTTGCTGGTGCAACTGTATTCTCCAAGTTGGATGCCCGCCATGGGTACTGGTCTGTTGTGCTCGACCAAGAGTCAAGTCTCTTAACCACTTTCAACGGTCCATTTGGACGTTACAGATTTTGCCGTCTTCCCTACGGTCTGAGTCTTAGCCAAGACGTGTTTCAAGAAAGGATGGACCAAATATTGGAGAAATGCCCAGGAACAACAGGAATATCAGACGATGTTGCTGTGTTTGATAAGACAGATAAAGAACATGATGAAAATCTCCACAGGCTGATGACCGTAGCACGTGAAAACGGGTTAGTGTTCAACCCAACAAAGTGTGAAATAAAGGTAAAGAAGATCAAGTTCTTTGGTCTCGAGTTTGATGAAAATGGAGTGCATCCTGACCCTGAGAAGGTCAAGGCCATCCAAGAAATTCAGCCACCCCAAGATGCAAAGAAGCTCCAAGAATTCTTTGGAATCGCAACATATATGAGTCCATTCATTCCACACCTGTCACAGCTGACAGCTCCATTACGAGATCTGATCAGGAAGGACAGTGAGTATGTTTGGTCAGAATCTCACAAAGATTCATTTGATAGAATCAAGAATCTCATATGCAACAAGGTGACTCTGAACTATTTCGACCCAAAACGTGACACAGTTTTGAGAGTCGATGCATCCACTAGAGGCTTGGGTGCAGTGCTCCTGCAGGGGAGTCAGCCAGTGGCATTTGCGTCCAAGTCGCTCAGCGAAACCGAAATGAGATATGCAAACATTGAACGAGAAATGTTGGCTGTTGTCTTCGGATGCGAAAGGTTCCATACTTACTTGTATGGAAAGAAGTTTGTAGTTGAATCGGATCACAAACCCCTTGAGATGATCCACCTGAAACATCTCTCAGCAGCACCACAGAGACTGCAGCGTATGCTGTTGAGAATTCAGCCATACAACTCTATCAAATATCGCCCAGGTAAAGACATGCTCCTGGCCGATGCACTGTCTCGTTCACCATGCAGCGAAAATAAACATATTGACTTTGAAGTGAGAGTGGACTTCGCACAATTCTCCCAAAAGAAAATTGAATCCTTAAAAATGGAGACTGCTAGAGACACAGAACTCCAGGTCCTGAAACAGTACATTAGTGATGGGTGGCCAGAACGTCAAAAGCAGGTAGCAGTCCCACTGAGACCATACTGGGCATACCGTGACGAAATGTCCATTGAAGATGGTATTCTGCTAAAGGGAGAATGTGTAGTTGTTCCCAAGACCATGAGGAATGAAATCCTCGATAGGCTGCATGACGCTCATCAAGGCATTGAGAAAACCCGAATTCGTGCAAAAACCTGTGTGTTTTGGCATAGGATGAATAGTGACATTGAAAATATGGTCAAACAGTGTCATGTGTGTCAGGAATTTCAGAACACACAAAACCATGAACCGTTACTACAACACGAATTGCCAACTAGGCCCTGGCAAGTTGTAGGTACTGACTTGTTTTATCAAGACGGTCAAGAATACCTCATAGTATGCGACTACTATGCTAAGTTCCCCATCGTGAGGAAAGTCTACGGAAATGGAGGAAGCAAAGCAGTTGTACATCTGTTAAAGCAGATATTCTCGGAACAAGGTGTGCCAGACACAGTGATAAGTGATAATGGGCCACACTATTCATCTATAGTCTTCCATAATTTTGTCAGTTCGTGGGACTTCAGACACATCACATCAAGTCCGCACTATCCCCGTTCCAATGGATTCATTGAACGCCAAATCCAAACTGTAAAGAATGTGCTTACAAAATCGAAACACACCAACACAGATGCAGATATGGCATTACTGATATTGCGCACAACTCCAATTGACCACCATCTTCCATCACCTTCTGAATTACTTAACTCCAGGAAGATGAGAGCTAATTTGCCGATGAGGGTGAGGAATCACATCAGTGACAAAGACGTTATCCATCAACATCTTGAAAATCGTCAAGAGCTCCAGAAGCACTATCACGACAATAAAGCAGGCCATGAGCTAGCTTCTCTGTTACCTAATCAGAATGTTCGGTACCAGGATCACCGAACTGGTCGATGGTATCCAGCCACGGTCACCAATGGTTGTGACACACCACGGTCTTATCTCCTGAAACAGGAGAGGGTTCATCAATACGACGAAACAGACATCAAATACGGAGATTCCAGAAAATCACAAGCGATACCTCCAAATGTGGAGCCTAAGTATGTTGTTCCAGCTCAACCCCAGAGTGAAGCTCCACAAGTACCCAAATCAGCTCTGAAAACCAGCACTGACAGTAAACCAAAACATGTGAGCTTTGAGCCGAACACCAAGCCCAGCTCAATGGATACAACACACAACTCCAGACAAATCAAGCAAAAACAGCAGGCCACTGATGCAACACACCAGAAGTGGCCGAGTAATCCAACGACCACAACGTTTCAGTGAATGACTGAACTCTCAAGTGCATTGTGTTATCGTTGAAGATACACAACAACTGACTGACTTTTGATTACGATAGCATTGAGACATTGCTTTTACGTTGTTATATAGGTTAGGAAACCTGTTATCGATTTCTTTCTTTTTGGTTCAACAGACCACTTTAAGTTGAAATTGTTATGAGTTACTCTGAAGGATTTTAGTATTTTAAACGTGGGGTACTAATAAGTTCAACTGAAGAAAAGTCCAGTTTCCAGCCTTTAAAAGAAAGGGGATGTAACATTATGACAAATTTGACTAGTTATGTAAAGCTGTAAGCAGGGACTATTTTTTGTAGCCGCATAGCATGCAACGGCGTAGGATATGTTTCGCACTAGACATGTGCGCCCGAATGTAGTGGTGGAATAAAAGTGTTAACTGATCCTTGGAAGATGTTGTCTATCTCCTGACTCAACAACTACACACAAAACATGACAGACGGTACAGCGATGGGAGTAAACAAGGTGAAGTTATTCACCAAGTCTGCCCAGAGTCGGTCATTTGTGGAGAAACATTCTGAGAAACCATTGCATCGTG